TCTTGGCTGGAAGTCCCTCCAAAAAGTGGTCTTTAAAATATACAAATATGGCATTAAGTGGGTAGAAATAGAAAGGATTTGTGAAATGAACAAAAACCCCATTCTGAAGAATATAACCATAGGTATATAACAAGTAAGTAGCTTCCTTGTGAGTCTTTTTCATTGCACAGGAGTTATTGAGTAAGAATATAGATTTAATAAAGCATAAGAGCTGAAATACAAGCTGATAAAATAACAAAATTAGAGAAGAAAAGATTGTGAGGAAAGAACAAATTAATAACATAACTAAGATAATTCATTCAAATAAGTAAATTAGAAATAGCAAAAAGGAACAGAGGGAAAAAGAGAGGAAGAATAACAAAATGGCTGAAAATCAAGCACCCATTTATAATAAAAACACTCAGCAAAGTAGGAGTAGAGGGAGCATACCTCAATATAATAAAGGCCACATATGAGAAAACTACTGCCAACATCATACTCAATGGACAGAAATTAAAATCTTTTCCCTTAGAATCAGGAACAAGACTTATTTGTCTTTCACCATTCTAATCAACATAGTACTCTAACTTCTAGCCACAGTGATCGGGCAGGGAGAGTAAATAAAAGACATCCAAATAGGAAAGTGGTAAGTAAAACTGTCACTATTTTCAGATGACATGATAGTGTACATAGGAAACCCTATAATCTCCACCAAAAAGCTATAGGACCTAATAAATGAATTGGGCAAAACAGTGGGATATAAAGTCAATATTCAGAAATTGATGGCATTTTTGTACACCAACAATGAACTGTCAAAAAGAGAAATGAGGGAAAAAACTTTCACTACAGGAACAGGAAAAATAAAGAACCCAGGAATAAATTTAATCAAGGAGGTAAAAGACCTGTACTCAGAAAACTACACAACACTGAAGAAATAAATTAATGAAGACACAAACTAATGGAAGTTTGTACCATGTTCATGGATCAGAAGAATCAACATCATTAAAATGTCCATGCTACCCAGAGCAATTTATAGATTCAACGCACTCCCTATTAAAATATCAATGACATATTTCACAGATATGGAACAAACATTTCAAAAATTTATATGGATACCTGGCTGGTGTGGCTCAGTGGACTGAGCACAGGCCTGCAGATTAAAAGGTCCCAGGTTCGATTCCCAGTCTAGTACACATGCCTGGGTTGTAGACCAGGTCCGCAGTAGGGGTCATGTGGGAGGCAACCACACATTGATGTTTCTCTCCCTCTCTTTCTCACTCCCTTACTCTCTGTATATAAATAAATAAAATCTTTTTTAAAAAACTGTGGAATATTTACACAATGGAACACTGCACAGCAGAAAGAAAGAAGGAACTCCTACCCTTCCCAACAGCATGGATGGAACTGGAGAGTATTATACTAAGTGAAATATGTCAGGTGGTGAAAGACAAATACCATATGATCTCAACTATAAGTGGAACCTAATTTAAAAAACAAACAATGAAAAGATAGAATCAGAGACATGGATATAAAGAACAAACTGACAGTGACCAGAGAGGAGGAAGAGTTTCTCTTCTCTGGTCACTGTCAATTTGGATAACAGGGAAAGAAGGGGAGTAGTTGGGGGTATGGGCAGGACAGGGAGAACAATGTGGGAAAAATGGGGACAACTGTAAATGAACAACAATAAAATTATTTTTAAAATGGACAAAAAGTCTAAAAAGACATATATCTGAAGAAATTATACAGATGGCAAATAAGTATATGAAAAGATGTTCAACATCATGTGTCAGTTGGAAATTTCCAATTATAACAACAGGACGTATCACTGTGCACCTAGTATATTGTCTAAAATCCAGAACACTGAGAACATCAAATGCTGGCAAGAATATGGAGCAATAGGAACTATTCAATAAGTCACAATTCATTTTTGGTAGAAATGCAAAATGGTATATTTTTTTTTCTAAGACAGTTTGGTAGTTTCTTATAAAACTAAATATCCTTTTACCACATGACCCAGTAATCACACTACTTGGTATTTACACAAATGAGTTGAAAACTTATGTCCATACAAAAACCTGGACATAAATATTTATGGAAGCTTTATTCATAATTGTCAAAAGCAACCAAAATGTCCTTCAGTAAGTGGATAAACAAAGTGGTACATTCATATAATGAAATATTGTTCAATACTAAAAAGAAATTAGTTACCAAGCCTGTGAAAAGACATAGAGAAACCTTAACTGCATATTGCTAGTGATAAAAGCGAAACTGAAAAGACTGCATACTATGTGATTCCCACTATATGACATTCTGAAATAAGTAAAACTATGGAGGGAGTAAAAAGATCAGTGATCCTCAGGGATTTGGAGGTCAAGGAAAAGGATGAATAGGTAGAGGACAGGGGATTATTTTAGAGAAATATAACTATTCTCTATGATACTGCAATGGTAGATAAATATTATTTTATTATACACTGGTTAAGACCTATAGAACGTTTAACACAAAGAGCAAATTTTAATGTAAACGATGGACTTATTAATAATGTATCACTATTGGTTTACAATGATAACAAATGTATCATGGTAATGCACAATGTTAATAAGAAAAACTGGAAGAGGAGATGAGAGGGTATATGAGAAATCTGTACAATTTTTCTTTAACTAAAAACTGCCCCCCATAAGAATGTTTATTAGTAAAAGTATTTTAAAAGATTTATTTTATTTATTTTCAGAGGGGAAGGGAGGGAGGAAAAGAGGGAAACATCAATGTGTGGTGGCCTCTCACATGCCACCCCCCCACACTGGGAACCTGGCCTGCAACCCAGGTATGTGCCCTGACTGGGAATTGAACAGACAACCTTTTGATTTGCAGGCCAGCACTCAATCCACTGCACCACAACAGCCAGGGTTATTAGTAAAAATATATTTAAAAAAAAAAGAGAAAGAGAAATGGCTGAAAATCAATGTAATAATATAGAGGAAAGGGTTGGGCTAATCACGCTTAATTCCATTCATCTTTGGTTTTTTTTTTCTCTCACATTTTACAGTACAAGAAAAGGACACAAATGGAGGCTAAGGAAATCCAATGCTCCTGAGGTGGAGAACTTAACTAACGAAGCAGAAAAAGACTTCAGAGTATATGGTACAAAAAATTTTCCAGTAATGAAGAAAGAACTCATCAGGGGTGCACCACACATTAGGGAAAAATGATATACCACTGAGACATATCTTTGCTAAGTTACTAAACTTCAGGAAAAATAAAATGAATTTGTTCAGGCATATTCAGATACACACATACACACATGCACAGTAAGTTACTTAAAAGGGAGAAAAAACAGAGCTAGCTAGCTAGCCTCAGACTTCTCCACTGTTACACTCAGTAACAGAAGAGTGATGTCTACAAAATTCTGAAGGAAAGAAAGTGTGACCCGAGAATATAATATCTGGTCAAGATATTGGTTAAGTACAAAAGCACTAGACAGACATTTTAACATGAAAGAGTAAAATAAAAATAGCACTCACAAGCCCTTCTTAAAGGAACTTCTCAATGAAAAAATACAAGTAACTAAGAAATAGGTAAAGACTTCAGAAATACAGAGAAATCATGGTACAATGCATGGCTATAAGCATGCAATCATTTAAAATATGAACTAAAACTAAACAGATAAAACAAGCAGGTGATTTATGATAGCATAACAGACTGTAAATGTCAGTAATTTGAGTTATAAAAACTGGGAATAGGGAAAGAGTTCAGAGGAAGTTTAAGAAATCTAATCTCTTTCATAGCAGAGTCCACTGATAATGTGTAATTGTGAAGCAGGTAGGTTTAAAAAATGACTAGATGACTGTTTGACCCAGCAATTCTAATCCCAGGTACCTATCTATTTAAGAGAAATTAAAACATATATCCAGACAAAAAGTCATAATGGATGTTCATAATGGCATTACAGTCAAAAAATGGAAACAACCCAAATGTCCATCAACAGATGAATGGTTAAACAAATGCAGTATCTACATATAATGGAATATCATTTGGTAATAAAAATAAATGAAGTACTAATACATGCTACCACATGGATGAACCTTAAAAACATTATGTTAACAGAAAGAAGATGGTCACAAAGGACTACATAGTGTATGATTCTATTTAAATGAAATGTCCAGAATAGGTAAATATATAGAAAAAGAAAGTAAATCAATGATTGCTTAGGGATGGAGAAGGACAGGGAGGCTGGGGGTTGTGATAAATAAACGTTTCTTTTTAAGGTAATGAAAAGTTCTATAATCAACTAGGGCGATTGTTGCACAATTCTGTAAATATAATAAAACCCACTGCATTGTATACTATAAACAGATGAACTTTATGATATGTGAACGATATCTCAAAAAGTTTCTTAACAAAATGAGATTAGAAAAAATTACTAACTTCTTAATATTTTCATAATGTATTTCTTTAGCTTAAAGGGGTGTTAATGACTAATATCTTCTATGGTAAAAAAAAAAAAAAAGCAGTTGCCTGAAGACAAGCAATCCTTCAACTTTATTTCAGTGTTTTATTCTGATAAATTCAAGCAAAATTAAAGAAAATGTTTTTAATTTAATATATTGTGACCCTATATTACCACATTTTTTCTGTCTATCCATTCACCTATACTGCTATTTCTATATATGCACGAAAGATATCTGAAATAATTTTCAGATAATGTGAACACTGGGGGAGTACAAATTTGGGTGACTTATTTCTTTCTTTATCATTTCTTATATTGATTAATTTTTTAATGATAAGTATGTTATTCATACTTGTCTTTAAATTGTCCTCATAAAGTAAATAAATGCAAAGTGCTAATGTTTGCATATGGGTAATAGGATTAAGAATATTTTCCTCCTTCTTTATTTTTTCTATACTTTCCAAATTCGCTTATAATGAACATCTATTCTTTTAGAAACAGAACAAAGTAAAATAAATAATACAATTAAAGGGCTGTGTAGCAGTTCTTGAAATAATTGTTTCTTTCTTACCTGTGTTCCTTCTGTTGCGGCTGAATGATTTTTCTTCCTGACCAGAGATCACCCATCTGTGACTGCTGAAGGAGGGACTGTCCCACAGTCTCCCTTTTATTCACTTCAAGACAAACAAAAGCATGGCAGAGTGGTAGTGATGAGGGGTGAAAAGGAAACACATCACACTTGCAGATAATGCAATATAATCTTTACATTCCCCACAATCAGGTTGAGCCCATGAAGGTAAGATATACCATGAGTAAGAACACACAAGGATTGAACACCATAGGATCTATCACTGAGGTCAAACACCTCAAGGAACCACATCCAGAAAGGTCTGGTACCTGCAGGTTTGCGGCGCAGGGACAACCTGATTATCTCACTGCCTGTGTGGTAAGCAAAGCGATTCACTTTCTGCTCATAAAACCAGTCTCCAGTTGCCTTCTTCAGCTCTCTGGGAAGGAATAAAAGAAAATGACAGATAGATAAAGAATGGTCCTTGTCATTCAACCAACAAAGGCTGAGCGGAGAAATTCTCACCACAGCTAAGGCCTCATTTCCACCCTCTTCTCAGCCTTAGGTGACACTCACATTTCCTTGGTGCACACCTTGCACTTCCAGGTACCATTGCTTTCATGGATACAGCAGTCCCGGCACACCAGGTGATTACAACCCTGACAAGTGTTGGTCTTAGGAGTCCAACGGCCCAGGTTCTCCTGGCACCGAGCACAGGTCCGATCACTATAGTGTTGGCTGCCCCTCTTGGCCCCCTTCCTTTTTACCTCCAGTAACTCATTCTTCAATCGCCTGCCAAGACCCAAAAGAGAAGGACAAGTGAATTCAGTATATGCATAGGTTAGAGAGGCATTGTAGGGTAGACACAGTAAACCTATTTAGTTCTGTGAAAGCAACAATCTCAGAGCCCAACCTGAACCAATGAGGAGTTATAAACCTCACACACAAGTTCCTCTGAAAGTCAGATGACAGTTATTAGAAAATGTCTGGACATCATTGGGCAAATACCTGGGAACCCATGCTTTTTCTGGGACTCTTACCTAATCCTTTTCTCATCTGCTTTCCGGAGCTCCTCATCTCGTTGTAGAACACTGAGGATCAAATCCCTTTCCATCTCAGACAGAAAAGAGAGGTCAAGAATCTCCGACATGACTTATTTTTTTCTTCTACTCTTCTTTCTTCAAAACAATCAGACAAGGAGAGCTACCAGAGTTGCCTGAAGTAAGGTAAAAACTAATTTCACACAAATAATTAACTCCAGAATAGGACCACAGCCTAAGAGGCTGGATACTTTCAGCAGGATACTTTCCCCTTGAGCCAGGCTACAGAGATATTGTAGAAGTATCTGATCTATTTACCATTCTCACCCCCACCTGAATCCTGCCTGTAAAATGAAGAGGCTTTGATTTGTCAAGAATAAAAACTTATTCCTGACTCTGGGAAAGGGTTGGGTTTTTAAGCGTAAGCATTTTGGTTAGGAAAGAGCTGAGGCCCACTGAGTCAAAGTCCCCCTTCACCAAGTAGATCCTCAGTCATCTAATTTTCAATATTTTAAATGTTGTCAACTCTCCAGCCTATCAACACAAAAAGTCAGACAGCTGGTCTCTGTATTTGAGGAAAAAAACACGTGAGGACTCCTTCAGGTTGAAGCCCATTTCTCCATTCCTCACCAGTTTCTATGTTCCCAAGATTTGGTCAACTTTCTGGTACATTTGAAAAGTTTCATCACCTCCTCTATCTCCCAAAGTTCTTATTGAAAATACTATCTCAAGGATATCTTCACCCATTTCATACACATTGGTTGAGCACCCACTCTGACAGGCATTGTGCAAAGTGTGAGGAATAGAGAGATGAATAATATAGTCCCTGTCCTTAAGAAGTTCACTGAGTAGTAGGAGAGACAGATACATACAAATACAGTACAATTTATTAAGTACCATCAGAGGGATAATAAATTAAATGCTATTGAACTTAGAGAAGGAATTAATTAATTCTATTTTGCATAGAGAGGGAAAAGAGAGGGCTGTATACATGGAAGGTTTCACAGAATACGTAGACTTTGCCTTATGAACACAGTGTATGTTGGTGGGGAACAGTGGTAGGAGAGATAGATCAAGGCCAGATTATATAACTCTCAAATACTCTTAACAACTAAGAATTTTAAAATTCATTAAATAGACAATAGAAACCCATCATTTTGTTGTTGCTTTGTTTTTTATCTTGGGAAGTAACATGATCAAATTCATTTTACAGAGATAACTATAGCTATAGTATGAAAGACTGATATACAGGACAGACTGAAGTGCAATTTGGTAGTGCATAACACACTGTAAAATGTACGTACTCCTTATTCAAGCAAAGCCACCTCTAAGAATCTACCTAATAGGAGTATTCACACAAATGTGCACGCAAGGGCATATATACAAGAATGTTACTACAAAATTATTTGCAAGAGAAAAAAAGTTCTTTAACATAGGAATCATTAAACCGAATAATATTTCCATATAATAGCATACTATTCAGCCATTTAGAAATGTGGTAGATCTTTATGAAAATACATCCCTGACTGAAAAAGAAGTAATTATGGACTCCAAGATGGCTGCAGAGTAGATGGAAGCTACACTCACCTGCTCTCGGCACCAAAACAGATTTACAGCTAAACTATAGACCAATCAACCTGAATAACCAAATGAAGCCTGGCTGAACTAAAATATTATATCAGGTTTTTACAGAAGAAGCGACATAGAGACTAGTAAGAAGGACAGAGACATGGAAAGGGCTAGTCCCCACACCCAAGTGTAGCAGCAGCCAGAAGGATATTGTGGCAGGAAAACTTCTTCCCCCCAGGAGAATTAGGTCTCAACTCCAAGGAGGTATTCCCAACCCAGAGCAATGGAGACAGAAAAAGGAGCCTGCATAGCATCAAGTAGTGAAAATCACTGGGGATGTAGTCTGCCTGGGAGACCCAGATGCATTTTTCATGGATGAGCACTCCTACTATTACAGCACCAGCCTGGAAAATGCACTGCCCAGGCTCTGATTGCTGTTGAGTCCACTCTGCCATACTCAGGTCCTGCAGAAAGGTCTGCTTGCTGCAGCCAACAGTGACTACTGGGGACCTCTTTTTCTGCAGTGGCTCTTGGCAGATATCCAGACAGTGACTAAACTGTGTGACTTTGGGAAGGACCCATCTCCTCCACCTTGAGAGCACAGCTGGAACCCCTCCCCAATCCACTGAATCACTTGGCCAGACCCATCCTGCTGAGTTCAGCCAAGCAAGGGGCCAGAGTGCTGCACGGAGCTGGGAGTTTTGAACCAAAACATGTCTCCCAGGAAATCTTTTGTCCTGAAACCAGATAGGCAGGGGCTGGGGTCTGTGGTTAAATCATGGTGCAGGGTTGGGGGAGGGACAGGACACCCTTATCTCCCCAGTGAGCTCAGCCCACACTACCCTAGGAACAGGAAGACGTGCCTGCACCCATCCTACAGGACTGCAGGCACCACTCCCATCTTAAAGGTTTGTGGTACCATGCCCAACAGGAGACTATTTGGACCAACCCTTCCAGTTCCCAGACACCCCACCCTGCTGGGCTTAGTTCTGTAGGGGAAAGGAACAGCAGCTTAGAGTGCTGCTGTCCCTTTGAAATGACTCATTCAAAGAGTGAGTCCTTTGAAGGTTAATGTCTGAGACTGAGAAGAAGTCCTTAGCCCCTTCCTGTGGGCTAGGCTGGCATCACTCACAATGGGAGACTCTTTTGATCTATTCCCATGAGCATGGGGTGCCTGAGCTTGCCCCTGCAGAGGGGCCAGCTGGTTGTACCCAGTCAGAACTAGCAGCAAGCCCCTCCAGGTAGAACTGGAGTTGGAGACTCTGGCAGAGACTGAGTACTTTGGCTTTGGAGTAGGGGCCACTTGCCCCTCACTGAATTCCTTACTGCAAGATCCCCAAGTAAGAGAATTACTAACTATGTCCTCCTGACCCCAACAGCCACATCTTATTGGGCTTGCAACATATGGAAGGGTCTGTTTTGTGCCTAGCCCAAGCCCATGCTACAGTCTCTTTTTGGAAGGCTCTGGAGAAAGAAGATGGCAACTTTAGAGGGAGGGGGAGTAGCTGACAGGTGGAGACAAGTCTCAGGGAGCCTTTGTCCTTTTACAGACCTGCCCCCAGCTCTAAGCTGGAGGAAGCTACCCCTTATACACATATTGGTCCCTCCCATGCACACCCAGGTCCACTAGATGAAACCACAAAAAGTAAACAGTGCAAAGGCTTCAGAAAGGTAGCCCAAGGCCAGTTACACATAACATCTGACACCTGTACCTGAACCCCACCAAAGTGGGCCCAGAACCAACACAATCAGTGATGGGTTTCAGACCACACCACAGCTCGACCTAATTAGCCACACAAGCATCACAACCAAAGGGGGGTTCTAGCAGTCACCCGACCCTACTGGGAACAACTTGGCCTCAGGGGACACCACCATGCACAGTGTCTCATACACGGTGATAGAGTTTTACCCTTCAAGTCAGTCTGCATGAAGGATTAGTCCACCCATGAAAGTGCCAACAACATTCAAGCCTCAACTACAGCAGGGGGGTGCACATAACGCACAAGAACATTCCTGGAGCATGGACCCCAGGTGATCTGGAAGATTGTGCCACCAAGTACAACACACCTTCATCATAAAGCCATCATAACAAGTTTGGGAGTCACAGCAGATCAAGCTAATACAGAGACAATATGGGAAGATGAAGAAATATGCCCCAAACAAAAGAACAAGAGAAATCCCCAGAAAAAAATGAAATGAAATGAATGCAACCAAAATACCAGATGCAGAGTTTAAAACAATGGTTATAAAGCTGCTCAGGGACCATAAGGGAAGAAGAGATGATCTCAGTGAGAATGTAAACAAAAAGATTGTAAGCATTAAAAAGGACTTAGAAACCATAAGAAAAAGAACAATTTAGAGATGAAGAATACACTATCTGAAATAAAGAATACAATAAAAAGAATTAGAATAAGGTTAGATGAAGCAGAAAATCAAATCAGTGATTTAGATAACAAGATAACAGTAAGCACCAAAGCATAGAATAAAAAATACAAGACAGTTTTTTTAAATGAGAAAAATCTAAGGGACTGTAGGACAACATTAAGCATAACAACATCCACATCATAGGGGGTCCAGGATAAGAGAGTGAGAAAGGGAGACAACCTGCTTGAAGAGATAAAGGCTGAAAACTCCCCTAACTTGGTGAAGGAAAAAGTCACACAAGTTCAGAAAGCAAAGAGAGTCCCAATCAAGATGAACCCAAAGAGAACCACATCAAGACACATCATAATTAAAATGGCAAAGGTTAAAGACAAGGAGAGAATCCTAAAATCACAAAGACAGACATAGTTAGTTACCTACAAGAGAGTTTCCATAAAGCTGTCAGATGATTTCTCAACAGAAACACTTCAAGCTAGAAGAAGTTGGCATGAAATATTCAAACTGATGAAAACCTAGGACATGCAAACAAGATTACTCTATCTAGTAAGGGAATCATTTAAAATGGAAGGTGAGCCTGACTGATGTGGTTCAGTTGGCTGGGCACTGTACCTCAAAGTGAAAGTTCACTGGTTCAATTCCCAGTCGGGACATATAGTTAGGTTATAGGCCCAGTCCCTGGTTGGGGAACATGTGAGAGGCAACCTATTGATGTTTCCCTCACTCATCAATGTTTCTCTCACCCATCAATGTTTCTCTCCCTTTCTTTCTCAAAAAAACTAAATAACATCTTCTAAAAAATTAAAATAATTAAAATTAAAGGTGAAATAAAGACCTTCCCAGACCAAAAAAAAAAGCTAAAGGAGTTAAGTACCACCAAGTAAGTATTGCAAGAAGTGTTAAAGGGCTTGCTTTATGAAGAAGAAATAGAGAGAGTAACATAGGTATAAAGAATAAAATGGGGCTGGTCCAATGGTAATGGATTATCAGAATTCAAATAAAGCTAATGTCACTAAAGTTGGACTCCAATCCCTCACTACTCAATTTGACTGGATTTTAGAAACAACAACAAAGAAAGCCCAGAGCAAGTAGAAGGAAGGAAATAACCAAGATCAGAGCAGAATTAAATGACATACAGACAAAAGAACAATATTAAGGATCAATAAATCCAGGAGCTGGTTCTTTGAAAAGATAAACAAAATTGACAAGCCTTTAAGCAGACTCATTA